ATTCAAATCATCACTGCCACCATTTTCTTCATCCACCTCAGATGCAGATTAGCTCAAAGAGCCACGACACTAAAAGGTATCTGCCATGCACATAGTGGGTCCCACGAGCAGCAAGCAGATCCTTATGCAATCAACAAAGGTCTACCATTGAGAAGATCCCAATAAGTTATATCCAATTACTGTAGGTTACAAAAACTGAGATGTCACCACAAGTAAGACATAAACACACTGAGACGAAATCAGTTTTAAAATGCAATACATACACTGAACTTGAAAACCTCTTTACAGATCCCATATTTCATCTGCCTAATCCAGCTGCACGTAAGGATTTTCTACCTGCTTTTCACTACTCTGTCTTCATTAAGTTTCCCATGCGGTATAGCAAGGTTGTGGTTGCTATGTGTGACTCATTTCCAGCCTTCAGCAGATGTGGGTGTGCCTGCTACTCTTGCCTACTAAAATAGAGCCAGGGATGAAAATTAGAACAGCCCGCATATCACTCTGAGTTGGATCCAATAAGTATAAAACATATTAAGATTTTTCAGACCTCAGGCCATTCCTGAGGAAGGCTGACTCTAGCTCCGGGACCTATAATGAGGAAAGAGACTATAGCTCTTGCCTAGGATCTTGTCCCTTCTGTTTCACAGAACACAGTTGCTACGTGAATAGGCGAATTTGCTGGAATATGTAAAATCCCTTTGACCACCAAGATAAGCATCAGCTCACCACCACTGCTTTCATTCACCCCCATCACACATGACTGAATTTGCCTGTACTGTACGGCTCCTTTTACTACACAGTTCCAGATTTTGCTAAGTCATATAGCACCTACTACCTACATAGTTTTTAATGAAGTAACTGGTGCTTTTTGTAGATCTGAACTTTTCCTTATGTGAAATTCTTTACAGGTTCATGGCCTAGATTTGTTTCCATCTGCTTTATCTCTATCTTATCAACACTAACTCTGAGATCTGATAAAAGAAAGTTGGTAACAGGATAAGTAATCTGCGCATAACACTTTCCATTATGAAGTACAAATGTATTTAGAAACTTGAACTCATTGGCAACAAGCCTTTCATCTTCAAAAAAGACAAAAGAACTAGAGCTAGAAATGTTGCTTTTGCTTATCATTGAAAAAATTATTCATTTTCAGTGGGTTACACATTAATAACAGTTACTCCTTGTCCGTCTGGAAGCATAGCCCTTAGGAAAATGTCAATAGTTAGTTGCCATAATATCTAAAAATGTGCATGGCAGCGTCAGCTTGATGACATCGCGCTGAAAATGCTGGCAGAATGGGGTTAGATGATGTGGTGGCACTCTTCTCTCTTCCAGGCAAATCACTCAAGAATAACTGCCTATAATTAATAATCCAATTATTAAGTTAACTGATGAAGTCACAAGACAGATTTTCTTGAAACAGCAATTCTGGACCTTCATTCAGAAAGGAATACCTTCCCACACCTCACATGGAAGACATGCGAAGAGTATGCTTTGCAGAACTGGTAAGAATTAATCTGTCAAACACAAGCTCCCCTCTTTTTGTACTCTTAAGGGCTACAAGAAGAAAGTGCGAAGAGCGACCACTCAGCCCTCTTCCTTGCAGTTACAGTGCCTCAGAAACCAAGATAGGGGCATATGTAGTCATAAGCGATAAAGCCATTCAGAATTGTCAGCTCTTACACTTGGACTTAATGTGTATGGATAAGCACTTAAAAAGAATTTTTTAAATTACCAATTTCTGATATAAAGTGTGTCATCTTAGAATTTAAATCTAATACTTGTGGGGTTTTTACTTTAACTGCACAGTATTTATTTCAGTTTTTAAGTATACTTGCTGCATTCTAAACACAGCTGTGTTCTCAGAGCCTAAAAAATACTAGAAATGGCCAGTGTTAATACCCTGAACCACAACAAGCCTACAGGATTTTAAAGCACAGTGAGGCTCTGCCTTTCTATGTAATGAAAAAAGGAAAAGTTTTGAAATCCTCTTGCAATTTTGAGAAAAATGCAGGAACAGAACACTGTATTTTAATAACTACAGTATTTATGCATCGTATTAATTGTCCATTACAAGCAAATAATTACTTATTTTCATGTGCACTCAGTAATCAGATAAAATGCATTCTAAATACCTGGAGTTAGCCAACATTACTTTCATCATCTCTCTATCAGTCTGAGCTATTTTTTTTCTATACTGTAACCTAATAAGCTATATATATAATTCTGGTGAAATAGATTTCTCCTGCAGATAGTTTGAAAAAAAATTTATTCTTTAGCATTAGCTAAATTAAAAAATTCAATTATTTAACTTTTTCATGAAACAGAACTTTATTATGATATAACATTTTAACTAATATGTAAATGTATGCCTATCAAGGAGGTACTTTAATTGCGCATATAGTCTATCATAAGAACTCACTTTCTTTATGCAAGTATACTCTAGCTGATTTAATTATTTAGCTCTCTAATTACACAGTCCATACCAATCAACCAAAATGAAGCACTTCTGTAATCTTAATTTCACATGTCAAATCATTGACTATGTTTTTGCATGATTCTCATGTTAACTAGAAAGCCAGGTTTTGAATGAACGACAGTGAGTACGTGAGGTTACGGGCAAAACCCAAGAAAGCTTTCATAGAAGGCAGTGGTAGTCCTTACCTATTCCCTTTTCCCAAAAATGGTGCTTCTCCACTGGGTAAGAGAGATAGCAGTATCCAGTTGCCTTTAACAGAATCTTTTCCTATTTTTAATTTTGCCCAAACTTTCTGAAATTTTCTCCTCTCTTACCCCACTCGCCGTCCCACCCCTGTAGCATAGGTTTACATCTTCTGTTATGGGATAGGTGTGAATAACCTTGTGTCTGGGATCAGGAAGGATTTCCATTTTTCCTGTGGGGGCTAGCATAGCAAGAAGTCTTACTTTTCTGGCTTCAGGTTGTGCTTCCTTAAGACATCCTGAGCACCTCAATGGGGGCAAAGGAGAGAGATGGTTTCACCAATGAGCCCTGAGGTTACAGAAAGGTGACATGGCGTCTTTCTGGCCTGAGGTGTTCACTGTCCCAACCCCAGGCAAGTAAATCTGAAAGGTAACCAAAGATGGGTCGGCCCCAACTGTTTTTGTTATACCTCTTTAACTCAGGCTAGAAAAAAAGCTTAATGCTCATAACAAGAGAATGGGAGAAAATGGAAGGGCCATGCGGCCTTCCTCCCACCCACCCTAGAGTATCTTACGTATTTGCAGCCTGTCATGTAAATGCCATTATTTCATATACGAGACAATCCTACTCAGTTGTATGAAAACAGAACAGCAGACATATTAAAAAAATTTAAAAAGTTGCTCCCTCTACTTAATTTAAATGCAGTATTCAAAAATTTGAGGCAGAAGGAAAAAAATCTGCTTTATTACAGCCACAACAATGTAAGTACCAGTGAGTCAAACAGGACTGGTTTTGCAATATTTGTCCTAACTAATTCTAGAAAACTGAAATTTATATAAGAATTTGGCATTACTTTAATTTATTTTTAATAATAAGTGATTTTATGAAGTGTAAAATCGTTTTCTTACAGAATAAAAACAAAAGTAATGCAGTCCACGATCTCAGACTCAAAGTGGATCGAAATGATATATAGTAGTCATAAAATAGTAACCATTTTGTAATAGAATTCTGGTGCTATTGCTGTTGAAAACAGCACATTAATTTACACTGTTTGCTAATCTTCAGAAATTTCTCATACTATTATTAGACAGGACTGTGAGCCTTTCTTCAAACAAAGCAGAAGTGTGAAATGAGAACCACATCTCACTTCAATCCACTAGAGGGTGGCCTGCCTCAGTCAGGACTGGAGTACTGAATTCATGCAAGATACCCAGCGTTTTCTTCCTTTGGACCTGTTGATAACCAACTCTTTGTATTTCGCTGCTGTTCATCTTCTATTCCAAACTAATTTCCTTTATATAAAACAGTATGTATGATAAAAACCCTTTTCCTAACAACATCTACCTCATTTATCGTTTTGTATATAAAGAAGAGGTTATATATTTCAGTGTATACTTCTCTTAAAAAAGAAAAAAAAAATGGTTAATTATTTTACAATTTTTAAAACCTTCATAGTTTGTATGACCTTTGTTCACAGACAGAGAATAAATAGAAAAAAAAAAAATCTTTACCAAAGAGTATGGTATAAAGGGAGAAGGGAGAAGGAAAGGAAGAAGTAAGGAAAAGCAGGAAAAATCTGCGCAGCCTATTGTTTATATAGTAGATGGCCACAAAAGAGAGAGTCAAGTAGACAGAGACTGAAAGAAACTGACTTTATTTAATGAACTCGTTCCTCAGTTTATTCTGAATTTTTATTTTTCAGGAAGATGTATTATTGCTCTTCCTTTCTACTGAAAAACATACGCAACCAATTTTAATATTTAGTTGTTCTGAACACAGATAACATCCTTATGTAGCTTTAAAAAAAAAAGGGGGGGGTTTTAAACCTCCCAAGCTGTTCTGTACGAACACAAAGCATACCCTGTATCTCCCACAAATCAGAAGAGATATCTGGAAGCGTGCAAAGGCTTGTTTCGCGTATCCGTACCCGAAGCAGCAGTGTCACATAACAGACAGCTTCCCACGGCCAACCAGACTGGCGCAGCCGCGCATACTACGCGGCATCTGGGCACGCCGAAGCACTGGCTCCTCTCCGGGGAGTGGAAGGGGCTCAGTTATTAATGACCGCTGAGCAGGCAGCACCGTGTCAGTGTGACAGCCAAGCGGGTGAACGATGCACCACGAACCACCATGGAAACAAGAAGAAATAGGAAAATCTAGCGAGCATCTCTCTCTCTCTCTCTCTCTCTCTCCGCCGGATTGCGAGCCTCAGCCAGCCAGGCAGCAACAGCGCGCTGGCAAATGTAAGGGATCTCAGCTGGCAGCACAGAGAGTCGCTCATGTTGTAGGATATCAATAGATACATCTTTGTATTATACGCCTTTAGATACACGCATGCACACTGACTCACACACATGTATGTACATCTATTCAGGCTCTGGCTTTAATACAAGTATGTGGCTACCTGAACCAAGGAATCGAAATTACTGAGATGCAAACTCCTCCAGCTCTGAAACTACTCTTTTTATAGGGTAAGTTCCTCTTTATTTTCAATTTCATCCTGACTTTTATCTAAACACGTAGAGTCTTTCCCCTTTCTTCTTTTCGTAGTTATTTTATTAGCATTATTTTCATATTTTACTTTCCAAATGGAAATGAAAATGCAATTTGCTTTATGTGCCAGAGGTGATCTAAATATGCTTGCAAGAGTATCAGATTTGTGCATTTGTTAGCTTGAAAGAACATCAAAGGGTAAAAAAATCATAAAGGGAGAATGTTTCCCCTGACGTTTCAGATGCAAAACCAAATTACACAGTTGCTCTGTTTTGAAACAAATAAAACAAGATACAGGACAGCTTCCTTTCTTCTCTCCAGTGCTAGGATTAAGGAAAATGCTGTTTATGTCAAGACCTAAAAACCACTGAGCAGTGAGGCTGAATGAGCATATCACAAACTGTTATTGAATTTCTGCCAGGCTACATCTTACGGATTGTGGCAAATGACTTCGCTTAAAAACATCCCCTTTCCAGTCAGAAGGGACAGTGTGAATGTCTGATTACTGATGCAGCTGGAACGGACGTGTTGGGTAAAAAGGATCGCATTAAGCAGAAGAGTTCTAATCTTCTTTGGTAATTAACAGGATCACAGCAGGGTGCCTCTAAAGTATATTTTCATGTAAGGAGACTGTTCAAATCCATCACTATAAAAGCTTTGCCTGTTTTAGTATAGGAAGGCTCAGAACTGTTTGTCTTTGCTTTCAATGTCTTTGTTTTCACATGTCTAGTTGGAGTTTTTGCCCAGCACTGCTATTCAGAAAGAGAACCCAACATAGGGGGATGAAGGGGACAGTAAATACAGGGGGCTAAAAAAAAGACAGTAATTTTCTATTTGACCAATTTAATCAACATTAAATTCCATGCTAGGACTACTGTTGCTTAATATGTTTGTGTTTCTACACATGTGTTGCTTTTTTTTCATGCCATATGAGTACCTCAGTATCCCTTCAGATGAAAACACATTCAGTAAAGTCCATCAGCATGGATCTGTGATTCATGCACCAGTGAAAGCCAGGAAGAGATTTTACTTTACACCACGGAAAAGACAGGTTAGCTATCTAATACATGCTTCAAAGTGAAAAAATACAGCCTAAATCTTCCTGCATGTTTTTGTTTGCTTTTTAGAATACTATTTCTGTATTAAAAACAGCTCAGTATTTAGATTATTTCTCCCTCCACCCCCTCACTTCTGTACGCCTTGGAGAACATCATAAAGAATCTGTTCCTTTGCAGCAATGCAATTATTTGCTTGTAATGTTAGAGTTACTGTGTTTTGAGAAACATTGTGAAACAACCATCAACAGATAGCCAATGGCTGTAAGCCTGCCACCTTTCCATAAATGTCAGGAAATGGGTAGCTTAACAATATGTATGGTAAGAAGTCAATTAATTCAGGTGACCTTTGTAAATGGTGACAATAAAGCAGCTCTGACAATATGCCACAGCATTCGATATTCCCTCTGGAAAATGAATGAGCTTAAGCAGAGGTTTCCTTTTCAGAGTACAAAATGAAAGGTAGCAAAGCATTAGCTCCTGCTATTGGCAAGCTTGCTTCCTCTATTTCAGATGGTCTATGAAAGCTGTTTAAAGCAAGCTGGCTTATTTTGTGAACCACAATCTCTGCTTCAAGTAATTAAATATCCTGTTTTCATCCATGTTGCATGTGCATTTTAGTTCTTAAAACAAGAATTTCAAGCTGCTGGTCTGGATTTTTACAGAATGTGGTACACAGTAAGGACAGAAAACCTGATTCTGATCTCTTCATGCTATATGCAAAGGACTACTCAGATGAAACTTTTTCTGTTATATATCCCGGTACATGCACAGCTTTTCTGAATTCTTGTCCTTGCTCATTTTTAATGCAAAAATGAAGTAAATATGGGTAACTCTACACCAGTTACATTGGGTTTTGCCACATATACTGTAACGCGCCACTTTAAAATATTACATAAATATACAAAAGAGTTTCAGAAAAATGTGGTCATTCCAATCATACATGTATAGAGAAAATACGCTGTAGATGCATCACCTGAGTACACAGCACAGATATTCTTAACCAGCAAACCAGTTAAAATGTATGGTGACTGTATTTTGGTTAATACTCCCTCAAAGCTCCTGCAGTAATTTTGTAGTGACAGACAATGACTGGCTGATGTTGTTATGGCAACCCTGAAGTACCGCCTTTCAGGGTGGTAGATCTGAGCATGACATCACAGCATGCCTTATCTGGAGTACCCAGAAGTAGGTGAGTATTTCTCTTTAGCGTGAGAATTGGACCAGATCAACTAGGCAATGTTGCTACCCGTAATTCAGATCAAAAATATCATGTATAATCTTTGGTAACTCACCAAGAATAAGCAGCTTATGAAAATACTCATGTCCTGCAAATCACTTGTGATCACTTATTCCTTGACACTAGAGGACAAAATTAAGTGGTTTCAAGTGAGACCAAACCATTTAGCAGTGTTGGAGCCACTTTCTTAGACTCTTACCCCTAATCTTTATTATGGCAATAATGATTCTACAAGCAAACCAAAAGCTTTGCTGTTTAGTGACAAACACTCTAACTTTAAATGGTTGGTGTTCAATAGCCAAATTTTAGAGCATCTAAAGCAACAGAAGATGAGAAGCAGTAGAAAAAAAAAACCCGAGTTTTTTCAAGACAAGCTCTGTCTTACTTCTGAAATAAAAGTCACCACAGAGAAACAATTACACCTTTTTTTGAAACTATAGGTATATGTTTTTAGTGAGTTATGGTACATCAACATTTTAGTTAATTCATATCTCCTTCCTGCAGATAGTACCATTAAAAGCTGAAGGAAAAGACAATGCTTGAGAAAGACATTGTCAGAAACTATCTTAGTAAACCCTTCCACTTTGAATTCCACAAACTCTACTTAATATCAGCTAGCAAAAACTGACCATGAAAAACTAATGTCACACGTAGCACTCAAGGAACCATTTCCTGAAGACTAAAAAATGGACAGCTTCTAAAACACAAAGTTTTGTTTGTTTTGGTTTTTTTTAACAGAACAAGTCTTCAAGCCCTCATACTACTTCAAAAAGAATATTAATTTTCATTCGAACAATACAACAGCAATTAAATTCCTTTACTAAAGGGACAGCACCAGCAGAATTTGAGAAGAAACAGTAGTGACAGATGTCATTAGAAAGGTCATTAAACACATTAGTATTAAGAGAAAAATCAATGCTTCTCTAGAACTGTGATGTAACTGTAAAAATGAATTACTGTGCCTTTTACTTATTCAACTGACCAGTCTAAAAACTCTTAAATGCCACTATTGTGAAACGACATTGTTCATAAAGAACTTTCCTTAATATCTTCAATGCCAAAAACTGTGTTTCTAACAGAATGATCCTCAGTGTTACACATAAAATACATAAATGATGTCATCAATGTTTCCACAATAAATTCAAATCTTCAGCTGACCTGAACTGATAAAGTTTTATTAGCACAGCACATGGAGCTATACTCATCTGTGGCAGAGAAATATCCAACATGGATGCCAATCCAATTAATCCACATTGGATTCTTTATGGAGTAGCTGAGTGTGCCACCTGGTGAGAAAGAGCATTTTCATGGGGGTGAAATACAAACTACTTTCACAAATTTGCTTGATTCAGTTACCCTCTGCTGACAGGATTTCTTATTGTTTAGACATGGAAGATGGTGCTATATAATAAATCAACCATAATAAAAAGAATAGCAAAGAAACAAAAAAAGAAAATAGTCAACATCTGCACGTTTTCTTCTCTCATGACATGTTCTAGTCACATGAGTCAAAGGAAATATAATTTGATAAATAGAATTATATTTATCATGCTCATTTACTTCTATTTTATGATTTCCTAGCTTTAATTTACAAACTGCTTGGAAGAACAAGCTACAGATGTGCTCTCACCCCTGGCATTCCCAAGCCTGCTTACTGGTTTTCTGCAAAGCACAAACAGATGCACCAAAATTAAAATGAAGAGAAAGTTTAATTTCATAAACACAAATTTATACAGCATATCCTTGAAATAATTATCCTTCATTTAGAAATAGTTCTTCTTCACAAAAAGTTTATCTCAATAAAACTCACTCCCTTTCAGCTTCCCTGTTCACCGTAACTGCTTGGCCACAAACAGTAACACTCTAATTCACAGGAAACAAGAAATAAGATCTCTGTATTCCTATTATTTCTATTCAGCTGCTGTATTTCTGGAATTAATTAAAATATCCGCTCCGAATTTAATGGCAGCTTAAGTCTACTGACCTCTGAATTAAAGCAGAAAGAACTTTTGCCTCTCTTCTGCTCTCAACTCCCACAATCTCAGTCAAAATGGGAAATGCTTTTTGACAACATTGGCACAAAAGAAATAATTTAGCAGTTTCCTTTCCTGCATAAGCATATGTATTTAGAGGTAAACACTGAAAAGCTGAATAAAATGCTACAGGGAATATTTTTTCAAAATATCTACTGATTATTAGTATTACCCCAAGACTCTGTTACCAGAGGGTTCTTGTCATGCAAATAACAACCACTCTGCCAGGAAATACTTTAAAGTCTCTAAAACATTTGGTAAAAGGAAGGTAAAAATGTTAAGTTTAACTGTGCCAAAAATTCCCTGGACATCCAGTTCCCAGTATGAAAAAAAAAAAAAAAAAAAAAAAATTGTTTATACAGTTCTCTGTCTAGGGATCAGACAATTTCTTGCCTGTTGAATAAATTGCAGAATAATAACACAGAATAAACATCAGGTAACAGAACACAGAAGGAAGAGCAAAGCTGTGCACTGAGACATTTCTAAAATCTCCATAGACCAGCCATCATCCTAGATAAGAGAAGATGACTTTCCTAATACTCTTTACAAAGGCATTTATGGACATTACTAGTGCTCTTCTAGCGTGGTCTTGAGAGGTTAGAGGAAAGCACAGCTGACAATCAGTTTGGTTAGCTTTGTCATCATGGTGC